CATTGCCAAAGCAACTGGGCATCTTATTCCTTTGCACAGAAACTTTCCCAGTCACCAAGCATGCCACAGCCATGAAGTCATCAGGGACCCCAGTTTCATACACTGGTCTCCCAATCACTGTCACCGCTCTCCACAGAGGCTAAATGGCACTTCTGGGATGATTGTCAATTAAGTGAAACAATGAATTTCATGTGCTTGACATAGAACATGAGTTCACAAAATGTAGGCAGTATAGTTGAAACCATACAAGCATGCTAGCAAACCCACAGAGAAGAGAAGGACCCATTTCTTCCTGGAAGCTGGAGAGGGGAGGGCAAAGAAGAGAGGATATTTGGAAAGCAACTTGTAAAAAATATGAGTTGAACTTCTTCGAAAGCCAGTGATGTAAGAAAGGGCATTGGATGCTGCCTCAGGATGTGGCACAGACGGAAGTGGATCCAGGGAGGGATCAGCAGGCATGTGAGCAGACAAAAGCCATGTTCCTGAAGTGGAGACCACCAGAGACTGAAGAAGAGCTCAGAGGGAGGCCAGAGAAACTTCTGCAGGCAAGAGGAGAGGCTGAAAATTTTTGAACTAAAAGGGAGTAAATGACCGACTAAGAGTTCATGGTGGATTCTAACTAGCTGAACTAGTACAGAGGTCAAGGAGTGGCCTTCAAAGAGCCCCCTAGAGAATGACCATCAGTCTGAGCTACCCCACTGCATACACACAACCCTGAAGCATCTGTAGCATAGCAATCACTTTACATGATGATAAGTTAACTGCCTGTCTTTCCATAAGCTTCATGAGAGCAAGGACGTTGTCTTGGTCAATGTTATCTCAGCAGTGCCCAGCACACAGTAAGCTCTCAGATGTTCAGTGGGTGATACCTTTCCCTGTAACCATTGTTTATCAGTGTGCAAGGACCTTTCCTCAGCTTTGGGGGGAGGGAAATCCAACAATAACAAAACAATGCATTTCCATGTCTCTTCTTGGAAGGACAACAGAGTTCTTAAGGACCATATCAGTATTTGAGTTTTCTAGTTCTTCATCTGTTCTGGAAGTCCCTGGAGGACAGGGGAGAAATGGTACTTTTTTTTGTTTAATCTCCCCCTTCTGTCATTAGTTCTGCATCATTGAAAATAGAAAATCTGCACTCTTTAAATGTTCCAACATTCTTATTTGTTAAAATTGGATTTTAACCTAATTCATTGTCATGACATTTCATAAATTATAATCATCTAGCATTTTTAAATATATTAGATGTTTCAATATAGTATTCAAATATGTATTATATATTTCAAAACAACAAGGTATTCATTTTTTCCTTTAAACTCACCTGCTTTTTATGATGAGAGTATTATGCAATCCCATGCATTTCCTTTTTTGCTCTGGTTACTAGGAAGCTCAGACGTGTACATGTTTTGCTTGAACCCTAAAACTATCACCAGCCAGGATTTCTTAATACATTCATTTTACTCTCTGCATTTTTATCTGGGCTTCTTTATTTTGTGCTAATGGTTTTCATTCTAATACCTGTACATTTATTTTAAATTTTCTCAAAACCTTTATAAAGTGTTATGTATAAATTATAAACACATGCACACATATACTAAAATATATATATCTCTCTGTCTCACCTCCTTTTAAACTCCTATGTCCTTTCCAGCAGTCTATTTTTATCACACATCAACTAGTACATATAATTATACTACAATTTTATATACACACACACACACACACATGCACACACACACATATATGTATGTATATATATATATATTTTTTTCTTACAGTAAAGCACAATCTAGCCATGTAGGCACTGGTGAAGATTCTATAGAGCAGACTTAAGAAACACATTTCTGTGATTTTCCCCAAATCCCTTTGGTTATCTTACCTTGAGTTTCTTCAGTACTCTGCAAATCAGGAATCTTCAAACTTCTGAAAAGAAGAAGTTAAATAGTAAATATTTTAGACTTTATAGACCCGTTGCAACAACTCATCTCTGCCACTGTAGTGAAATACAGAACAAATGTTCATTACTGTGCTTCAATAAAACTTTAATTACAAAAATTGGTGACTCCCAGAATTTAGCCCACAAGCCATAGGTACTGCCCCTGCTCCAAAGTCTCCCCCTCTTACTGCACCCCATCCTTGCTGAGACCTCTTAGGAAAGTGCTTCTGAGGCTCAACTCCAATGTCCATTCTCCTTGAGTCAGCCTCTGCAGGGCTGAGAGCTCTCCCACCTCAAAAGGCATTTTCGGTACAGGTTTTGTTGCTTAAACACACCCTGGTGAGTAGGACCTTATCTCACATGCACCAATAGTTTTGTTTAAATATTTCTTTCGACCACATATGGTGATTGCCACAAGGGAACTGTTGGTGCATAAAATCATCCTCTTCTCATTCCAGATGCATCTTCATCTGCATAAGCAACAGCATTTTTACAGCCCACAGCCATACTTGAGGTAAGAAAGCTGGTTCAGTAGAGGAATGGAAAAGGTGGTCTTCATACCAACATGGCCCAGCCACACAACCCTGGAAAGTGGCTGTACTGTGTCTTGGCTTCCTCATTTACACAACAGTGGGGTGGTCTACCTGCCCAAAGGCCAGAGTCTAGACAAGAAGATTTCTGGGAATAACTTTCTGAAATTTAGATAGGCTATTTCCCTAAATCAGCATTTTTCATATGGTTTCAGATTCTGATTCAGTAATTCTAGTAGGTCTTGAAGTTCCCTCAAGTTCCCAGGTGCTGCTCCTGCTGCTGCTTCTGCCGGTCCAGGGACCTCACTTTGGGAATCACTGGTCTACATGATGGACATCTCACAGTCCATTGTAAGGGGAAGCAACAAAAGAGGAGCCAGAGCTGGTTTTTCTGCAGTTTCTCAAAATGGGGTGCCCTCTTGAGGGATCCGTCCTCTGAGTGTCAGGCACTGGCACCATAGCTCAGCAACAGATGGAGGTGGGTGGTCATTCTCACAAGGGCATCATGCTGGAATTTATAGGCTGGAGGGCAGCCAGGTAAGGTGTCTGGGAAAGGACAGGGAAGAGGGGGCCCACTGAGAAGTGAGAGGTAAAAATGCCATCACACAATTAATTCCTTTGTGTCCACCCTTCTAGAACTTTCCCCTTCTGTAAACACTAAGTCAACATAAGCATTGACTGAAGGTTGGCCATTCATAGGTCTAGCACCACATCATGCAGAGTAGGATGTAAGGAATGGAAGAGGTAGATGGTTCGGACTGTTCTCGGGGACCCTCAGCCTGGAAGGAAGGCAAAACTCGTGTGTTCACAAAACTGACAGTCTTGTGCTGAGTGAGACAGGCACATAATGAGACCCTGAGGTGATGTGGCAGGGAGATAGTGGGTTCCAGAGGGTGTACCCGTGGGCTGGGCAGGTCCTCCTGGAGGAGGTGAAGCAGGCTCTCAAGAGTCTGGAAGGATCAAAGCACCGAAAAGTGAGCAAAGCATGCAAGGAAGTCGAGATGGGCCCGGGATATTAGCAGAGTGGCCTGGGAAGGAGCAGGGGGCACTCTCAACCTGCCTCTCTCTGTTCCTTTGTGAGCTCCCTCAAGTTACTCCTATTTCTGTGTCTCAGTTTCCTCATTTGAGAGCTGCAGTATTTAGGTTAAGTCCCAAATTTCCAAATTCCGTTCATCTTGGAGAGACTCCAGGCCAGAAGAGGGTGAATGAGCAGACTGGGCTCAGCCTCCTCCCCATCGTGTCTCCTACAGCCAGCAGTTCTGCTTTCTTACATTTTTACCCTCCTTGCATGGTTTTGCTTCCAGAAAGGGTTGGACAATCACTCAACAAGAAACTCCGTCAATGCTCCTTTCATTTGCACACCAGGTGGATTGAGCAGAAGAGGGAAAAGAGCCAGTGAGCAATGGGGATGGACTGCCAGGTTAGCGGGGCCGGTTTCTAGAACAGAAAGGAGTTTAGAATAGTGGGGACAGGGAATAGGGAGCCATAGAAGGTTTGTGAGGGGAGGAGTGCCACAGCAGGAACAAAATCAGGCCCAGAAACCATCAGAGACTGATCTGAAAATCTCAACTGTTCAGAAGGTTTTGAGTAAAAACAAAGTGTGATTTTCCCCCTTGTCAGCCTTCCCCCCGAGGACATGGTACTGTATGCAAAATGGGTAACTGTAAGACGAACATATTTTTCCACTGCCCTTCTCAGCCCCACGGGTCTTCAGGAAGACCTGAACTTCAAGCAAAGCCTCTTTAGTTTTCAACACCCACAGCTTCCATTCAACAATCACAAGTTTTCCACTTTGATCAAAGAGGCTGAACAGAGAGGGCCACAGGAGCGGCCTGTTCTCAGCAGCCCAGGGCAGACCACAAAAGCCCGGCTACCCACTCACTGTGTGTACCCACCGGAGGACACAGCCTTCCCCGCAGACCAACCAGGTACACACCCCCAAAACACTGGCCCGTCTCATTCCCACCTTAGCTGCCACACGAATGTGCCCAGGCGCGTCTTCCAGGCCAGCGTGGGCTCCAGGGCCTCTGCTTTCCTGACTGTGAAGTGGGCCTTCCGCTGACCGCTCTGATCAGGCCACGGAAGCACTTCAGCTGGTCACCTCTTAATCCCTCTTCCATCTCTGAGATTCTTCTCGAGGAAGAATATCCACACCAGCTCCAAAGTCCAAACTGACTCGGGTGTTCAGAGGTTAGGACTCTAGGCAAGGGTGCCCAGGGCCTTTGCTGAGGGGGTCCTGGGATGTCCTCGGGCTCTCAGAGATAGACTGCCACCAAAGACGGAGCAGAAAGGGCAGAGGCGCTACAGGAAGAACGGGCTACCTCCAGGCCCGTGACAAAAAAAAAAAAAAACTTTCCAAAAAGCCACATCTGGAAGAGCTAGCATCTTAAATCAGTTCATATTAACGTTTTAACTGGCACGCTGAAACGGAGATCATTAGTACCCACAGCTGTGACACACTGTGGCCCAGGGAGTCTATCTATCATCTCTGAATTCCAGACTTGGCCCGGGGGACCACTGGAGCTGTTTAACAGGAATTGTTGGACCATCTGCCAAGCCTGTTCCCATTCACGAAGCTCTTACATCATCTGGCTTGGTCTTGGAGATGACCATACTGCTGGGGGGAAAGGAAGGACGGGGACCCGAGTGACTTACACAAGGACACAAAGTTAAAAAGAGGAGGAGCTGAGACTGGACCTCAGGTCTTCAGCCTTCTGGTGGAGTGGAGCTCGAGTGAAGGGTGCAGGCCTTGGGGCCAGGCAGGCTGGGCCAGGCAGCCCAATTCTTTCTGAGATTAGCATTTCCGACTTTGAGAAAGTTTACCCCCTTGCTGAGCCTCAGTTTTCCCATCTATAAAGAAGGAATATTACCTGAATCACAGGGCAAAGGTGCAGGTGGAGTGAGGCCACTTATAATACTCTTGGGACTGTGCCTGGGACAGGAGGTTCAATTCCAGTAGACACACACACACATTCACACACACACACACACACACGCACACAAAGCGCACAACACACTCTAGACACATCATGGCAAACCACAAATACACACGCACCCCACAGAGCACCCCCCCATTCTGCACCCTCCTTCCCTCCTCACCCTCCTCACTAATTCCTTCCCCTTTCTGTGAGTTGTAGGACAGCTCACAAAACAATTTCATCTGCAAGTTTAAAGATCCCCTAACACCCTGAGAAAGTTTCTGCTCAAAAATTCCATGTTTCCGGATTCTCATTCTCTTGCAATATCTTTGACCCTGACTCCAAATTTCAGGCTGCCTTGAGTTTGTGCCCCTTTGGATAAATCTCTATGCTGGTGGGCTTTTTCCTTCCCTCATAACCGGTAGCCTTTCCAGTTTTCAGCAGTAGCAGATATTATCACACCGGACCCTAGGAGTCCCTCTACTGTAGCCCGAAGAATGCAGCCCCCCGGGACCCGGCAAAGAAACTTCATCTGCAGGGGCTTCTGAGCCAAAGATCATGTGCAGCCAGCCGCCCCAGCAGGAAGGCGTTTGTGGCTGGGTCTAAATGAAACAGAAGTCACTTCATCACACACACACACACACACACACACACACACACACACACACACTAGGGGAACCGTCATTTTCCTACGCACCCTCTGACATCAGCCACCTTCTCTGTAGCGACAGTTTTCTCTGCACTCAAATTAATCTGGGCGATGAAAAATGAACCTCTCCCCCACCCTAGCTGCCGCCTTTCGCCTCACGCCCCCAGAGAAGAGTTTCTCCGCCAGGAAGCCGGTGAAGGTTTTTTTCCAAGTCACATGATCCAGGATGCAGGGGGAGAATCCTTCTTGGAACAGAGATGGGCCCAGAACCGGATCAGATGAGGAGAGATAAGGTGTGATGCGGGGCAGCCTATATAAAGAATGGACCCAGGGCTGCAGCGAGCACGCAGCCCCAGAGCCCCTGGCCCAGACCCAGCCATGCACGTGCCGCCAGAACCCGTGGCCAGCCACTTGGGAACCACGACCCGCAACTACTTCTGCTTCACCACCGCCACGCTGGCTCTGTGTCTCATCTTCACTGTGGCCACCATCATGGTGCTGGTGGTTCAGAGGACGGTGAGTGGACGGTCTTCCTTGCTTTACCTTCTTGATTGAAGCTCAGCTTCCCCCTCACCCAGGAAAAAAAAAAAAAAAGAACTCTGGGAGCAAACTGATACCTTAGTGGGGAACAAAAAGTTTGAAAGAAAAATAAATCAAAGTAGCTATGGGTTATGTCGGGCCACAAAACGGGAGAAAAGAAACAGGAACTTAGCTCCCTGAAATAATTTGGATTTTTGAGAGAAACTTTATTGGACCATCATCTCAAAACTTTCCAGACCCACATGAGCCAAAAGAGTGGAAAGAGCTATTGGCCTTGAGAAATTAGCATTTAAATCCTGCTGAGCCAGAAATCCATGGGATCAAGGAAGGAAGGAAGCAGCAGGCAGTCTGGAACCCTGGTCTAGAACATTCGCCTGGCTTGGTACTCGGTGATTCCAAGGTTCAGTCTTTTCAGCTGAAATGTTCCTGAGGTTTCTGAGACCTCATCCATTGCCCAGGTGATTTTGTTGTTGTTGTTTTTATTTGTTTGTTAACAAGGAGCTAAATGTAGAGGTCAAGTTCTAGAAGGAAGGCAGACAAGCCAGAGAGCTGAGCTGCTGAGCGTGTTGGGCATTTCAGCGTTAAAACCACAGAACAAATCGAAAGCTTCCTTGTAAGCCGCTGCTTTGAGGAGTGGAGGGTGTGATAAGAAACAGCAGAGAACCAGGAGAAATGTTTTCAATACCTGTTCCCCTGAGATGCCCCAGCACACGCTGTGCAGGGTCCAAGTGCCTCGGGAGATTTACTTTGTTTGCAGTAAGTGGTGAAAGATCTGTTCTTGAAAGTGGAAGGGATAAAGGAGAAAGCTCCTTTACACTTTAGAAATTTGATATCAACTGAGCATCCATTAGTGCGTAGCGTACAGAAAATACCACACTGATGGAGGATGTGGCTCACCAATTTTTAAGATTTTGTGTACTTGGGTAGTGTAAGAACTGTACCCACACACATGACATCCTGCCAAAGTGAAACCGAGTCTACGACTCCACGACTCCCGCTGTAATGCAAATGTCCAGAATTTGTTCTGGTTTTCCTTCAGCCGTCTCAGGCCAGATGCCCTGTAACTTATCAGTTGCTAAAAGGAACTGGGCTTCAAAAGGCTTTGCCACTTGTTAGTTCTCAAGTGTTACCAAGCTTGGAGATTTAAGTGAAGCTTTGAAGCTCAGATCTCCATAAAAGTGGGAAGAAGGGGATCACTCTATGTGATTTGGATGGTGGAGTTTGTAAAACTCACATTTAAGGGGTTTGTTGGCACCAACTAAGAGAAACACTCTTAAAAACATCCTTGGCATTGACTCTACCACTTTCTGCCATTATAATTTGGAATAAACCAGACGTGTGTTGTTTTATAGCAATGGCCAGGGGAAAGAAATTGAAGTAGGCCGGAAGAAGTTCCTTAGGTAAAGATGCTGGTAGAACTGTTGGGGTATGGGAGGTGGAGATGGTGGGATGCAGGTGGCAGTGGTGATATGTGAAGCCAGAAAGCTCCAGAATATTCTTCATACAAAGCCAACTTGGAGCCATATAGGTTCTTTCTATGAAATGGACGGATCCATTCCTTCTATGGAATGGATCGTTCTGCCTATTTTAAAAAAAAAATCCAAAATATGGGGAACTGAGAGGGGACAGGGCTTGAGCAGAGCCACCTGAGAGAGCAGTAGAGTCCACGGCTTGTGCTGCGTGAGAAGTGGACAGCCAAAGTACTGAAAAGCTTCTGTCACCCTCTTCTCTTGGGGACTTCTTTTTCTTGCAGACCTATTTCTTTGGCTTACCCTTCATGTTCGGGTATGAGAAGGTGTGCTTTGGAATCTGATTCCACGCTGTGATTTCCTAACTCTGAAACCTCAGTTACTGGCTTCTGAGTCAAGGACTATAATACAGTAGCTGTAATATTGAGTGTTGGATGCCTTACACACGTCATTTCCAATAAACCTCTCAGACATTACCTGTGAGGAGAGCTAGGAAAGCATGACTCCCAACGAACCTGAGTGACCAGGGAGGCATCCATAGCAAGAGGGAATGAGGGCTGACTTTAGAACCGGTGGGACTTAGATGAGTGAGAGGTTCAATAGGACCTCTGGGGAAGAAGACAAAGGAGAAACCTGGGGAGCTCAGATCCCCAGTCCTGTTCCTAACAGAGGAAGAAGCTGGTGGCCACAAAGCACTTTCTAAGTAGGTTGGGGACACCGGAATAAAAGCATGAGGATGGCTTTATTGCCATAAGAAATCACAATTCTAGGTCAAAGGGCACATCTATGGACCATATTCAGAACAGCTAAGTCATAACATGTAACAAAGCAGGACACAGGTTACCTTAAGACCCCAGGTTAAGGAGAGAGGGCATTTAAGGAAAACCTCGCTGGACATGGGAGTTCCAGATCCACTTGAGAAATGAACAATTTCAAGTGGGTGGAGAAAAGAGATCTAAGGACAAGCTGCTCCCGGCCAGCGGCAGTGGGTGAGCAAAGGACTGGAGGAGAGAAGTTATTACAGGGCAGGGGGACATGGCGTGGCTTGAAAGAACTCATAAGTTTAAGGTCAAACTCCATGGGAGAGACAAAGGAGGAATTTAATTTCAATCACCAATATTTATTGAGCATCTATTCTGTATGGGACACTTTTCTAAGCACTGAATATATAGTCTTGAACAAAACCAACAAAATCCTGCTTTTGCATTGTTTATCAAACTTTCTTTCTAGTGAAGTCTTTAAAATGTCTGTGATTTGCACTTTTCTTTACATATACCAGTACATTTATTACAAAATATTGCATTTACCTCATTTAAGAAAAGTAACCAACAAATAAGGGGGAAGAAAAAAAAGTTTTAAAGTTTTTTGCCCCCTTCCCAACCCACCCCTCCCCCCTTTTTTTGTTGGTTACCCCCATTGACCGGTTTTTTTTTTTTTTTTCCAACCTTTTGGGCTTTTCCCCCGTTTTTTTTATTAACCGTTTGTTGTTTCGGCCCCCTTTTTCTCTTTGGCATTTTTTTTTGGGGACTTTTCCCCTTCATTTTGCGGAGTTCCTTTTCATTTTGTTCAAGGGTTCCGGCGTTTTTTTTTTTTGCCATTCCTCATAATTTATTTTATCTGCATCTCTTGAGAGACACTTGTCTTTTTTCCTCTAGAATATTTTTGCCCTCTGTGCACACCTACATCTGTTCAATGAATCCCTAAAGGTGGGAATAGAACATGTATTTTCACTTCAATAAATGTTTTCCATCAGCCTCCACAGAAATTGTCCCCGTAGGCTCCCAAGGAAATAGAAGTCTACCACCCAAGAGGCACCTCCTGACATCAATATGGAAAGAAAGAAAATTGACTGATGGGCTGGGGCTGGGGCTCAGTGGTAGAGCACTCGCCTAGCATGTGTGAGGCCCTGGGTTCAATACTCAGCACCACATCATAATAAATAAAATAAAGGTATTGTGTTCAACTACAACTAAAAAATAAATAGTAAGAAAATTGATTGATTGCTGAGGAAGCCCAAGTGTACACGCAGACAGGGAAGCTGGAAAAGACTGGAGAGTCTAGATGAGATGTTCACACGATTTGTACAGAAAAGCAAAAGAAAAAAGCATCAAATTTCTCTTCTCTCCTCAAGAGCCAATGGAATCCCATGAGATAGGTCCCTAGATTACAGCCGAGGGAGGTATGTACATCTCAGAGTGCCTTGAGACTCTGGACCTGAGGGTTGCCTCTGCTCCCTAAACCAGGAGACAGGACTAGTCCAGCCCTGGGTGGGTGGGTGGGGGAATGTAAATGGCCACATTCCAAATGGTAGAGCAAGGACTTAGGACGGTTGGATTTTTAAGTACTGTAGACAATTTCTAGAAAGAGAAAGCAGTGGCCTCATTTCTCTTTATAAGCAAATATATATACATATTTTTTTGAAAGAAAAAGATAACCTCACAGTTCCCCCCACCATCCACCAAGAGGGAGGCAGAGCACCTGTTCAAGGGTAGCGAATGCCGGCAGCCAGGGTGTGGTTTGGGGAGTTGTTTTTAAACTCAGGAGTAATGCAGAGGTGAGCTGAACCCTCCCCACACGGGGATGCTTCCCTTTACCTAATAACTTTCATCTGATATCCTATTCCACTTAAGAATAAAAACACAACATCCTCTGAAATGGTTGTAAGGAGCAACCCAGAAGCCGGGCTGGAGGGAAGGAGCCCTCTGGACACAGCAGCACCCTGATTTCTGGGAACTTTCTGCTAAACTAAGGAAATGAAGCCCAGGAATCTGAGTTCCAGACCAACCAGTAGAGAGGGAGATAATTTCTGTTTAGGATTCGGGAGGTGTTTGTAGGAGAACTGAACAAGAAGCCAAGCCTCTGAGAATTAGATCATGTCTTATGCCCCAAGTCCTATTTTGAAACCTCTCACGCAGATTGGCCAAGTGTCAGTGCTTTGTCACATTTGTGCTATTTAAGTATATGAAAGTAAGTTACAGACAGTATGACCTCTCCCTTCCCCAAGCTCCAGTACCCATCTGCCACTTACCAGTGTCATGACCACTGTCGGAGAGCTCCTGGCAATTCATGGATACAGTTCATGTTTACATTTCCTCTCTTGTCCAAAAACCTTGTCTATAGTTCTTTTGTTCAATTTTATTTGGGGACCTAGCATTCATTCTGGGGTCACATTGTGTTGTCAGCTAGAAGGTTGCTGTTTAATGAGTGGTCCTAGGTGTTTGTTGAAAACATAGACCCTCAGGCCCCACCCAGAGCTACTGAATCAAAATCTGAATTTAAAATGTTCCCCAGATGATGCCGTACACAATCATCATGCCCTTTCTTGTTTGTTTTTCATGACACTGATTTTTTTGAAGGGCCCAGGTGAATTTTGTTATAGAACAGTAGATGTTCAGGATTTGTCTGGAATATGAAATATTTCGCCAAGACTAGTATTTAGGTAATGTTACATACTTTTTACTGTACCGCGGCTAGAAGCCTAGGTCAGGATGTCCCACGTTTGGATGCCCCATTTTTTGGTGATGAAGGTGGTAGACACCAGTCATCTCATTTGTAAAACATTTTTTTTCTTTATTAATAAGTAATCTATGGAGTAATGCTTTGAAGACACAAACATTCTTCACTTGGCAATTGTGTCATTTCTTGATGTCACTTGTCTGGGTCTCTTCATGGGCTGAGGATGCAGAAGGATGCCCAATTCTCCTTCCTTCCACCTTCTTCTGTAAAGTAGAGCTCTCCATGGGCAGGATGCTGGCAGGCATAGTGGGCAGGCGTATTCTAGATGGGACCAGTGAACAGAGGCACAGCCCAAAGGCAGGCAAAACTGGGTATGAAGAGAGGATTGACGGGGCCAGAACCAGGGTCAGTCCAGACTCAACAGGGAAGCAGCAAGAGATAGAGTAGATGGCAAAAAGCAAATAATAAAATAATTTAACAAAATTAAAGGTACTGATAGAAGATACCGAGAGGCCAGCCTGGCAGCTCCAACCTCAGATAAGCAAGATTTCCTAGAACCATATCTGAACCCCAATCCAGCTCCATCTCCTATGGTCATCTCTCAAGACCACAAGTGTTCTCGCTGCCCATGGAGTAAGGTCTTCGAGCCCTTGCTACTCCAGGTGTGGTCCATGCCCCTCCAACATTGTCAATACCTGGAAACTCACTGGAACTTCAAAACCAAAGGCCCCATCTAGATCTACTGAACCAGAATCCCCAGATGATGGTAAATCCTTGCAAGTGGGAGATGCACTTTTAGCACATTCTGGCCCAATCCTCACTTTCACAGACCATGGAAAACCAGGGACTCTCAAGAAAAATACCCCTGTCCCTGGGGATTTGATATGATCTCCATTCACTTTCCCTTTGGATCTTGGAAGCTGTATCCTGCCCTATGATGCAGAGCAGTACCCTCAAAATAACATATCTGATTTGGGGTCCATCCTCTGCTATTTATCACCTGTTGGACCTTTTGTTATCATAAAGTCACTTCTGTAAGTTATAGTCAACCCCTAACTCTTGGGGTCAAGGTCAAGGGCAAACAATATAATGCGTTCTTTCTTAGGAGTGGCCCCCTTAAGTGCTTATTCATGTCAGCTTGAAAATGATAGTGATCCTCATGGACCATGAGCCAGAGCCCACCTTAGGAGGCAGTGTGAGGCCAGAAGGAAGGGGATATGGAATCCCCCTTGTCATATTCCAAACATTAGTTGTCTTTGGTCATTTTCAGTCACAGAGGATATTCTGTGTCAAAAGCAAAATTAGGAGCTGATTACACCCATACACCATTGCTCTGTGAAAAGAAATGGGCCTTCTAAGTATTTAGAAAAATTAAGCACCTCAAAAGGCCATCCCCAAAATAGCCACCACTTTTCAGCAGTTGTTAACACTTGATGTACAACATCTCACTCCATCTGCCACGACCCACTGGAGGGAAGGATTACAAGGCACTCTAGCAGAGACAATGGCTGGGAAGGAGGTCATTTTGCCCGGGGACTAACAGGCTCAACATGACCATTCTTCCCTCCATACACACAGAGATCTTAAGTTTTGCTGGAACACCCATGAGACTTCCACAGAGGCTGAAAAAAAATAAAAAATAAAAAGAGGAAGTCTGCTCAAGGCGGCGTAGCAGGTTGGTAACCATGGAGATGGAGTTTCCCGAGCTGTTCAATGGAGCTGAAAATGACAACCGGCAAGGGTTCATTTGGTTATATCTGGGTCAGACCTGTCTTACTCAAAACCGTGTCACTGGTCTGGACAAGATGGCATTTCCTCAGCCAGGGTCCAAATCCCTAGGAAAGATTTGGGAGAACACTCCAGGACAAGGGACACCTTGCCAACGAGGAGGGCATGGACAGTACTCAGCATGGTGCCTTGGGCAGAAACAGCTTCAACAAACATCAACATTCACCACCTCTTTAGACCCCGTCTCCACCTCGAATGTGAGGCAGAGTGCTTGTGCAAGAGGAGAACAGGGAGCATTGAATGTCCCTGTGGTTGGTTTCTGAGGACAGCATCTCTCCTGGGGCAGTAGAAGGTACAGGGGAGAATTTCAGGACAGGATCTGCCTCTGACTCCTGAGAGCTTCGGCCTCCTCCCCTGCAAATCAGCTGGATGGGCTAAGATGTCTAGGTTCCTCTGTGGCTTTGATTCCCTAATCTTGTCTCCCACAGGCAGCCAGGGGAGCTGTAGAGATCCTGTGCTGTTCAAAACAGAGTCCCACTTGTGTCTCGGGTTCCCCGGGCCCTGGGTGAAGGTTTAAGCAACAGGACCCTCTGCCACACCAAGTTGCCTTGCCTTTGACATTTGCTCGTCTGAAGTTAGGCAGCCAGGAAGCCTTCAGTTGTCAGAGAAGCAGGCCCTTCCCTGATGCCTCCTTCCTGATCAGCCCTCCTGCTGACATTACCTCTTACAGCCTTGCTGCTCCAACTGTGTTTCATGGGCTAGAAGTGTGGGCATCACCTGGGAGCTTGTCACAAATACTGAATCCCGAGTTCTACCCAAACCTGCTGAACTAGAATTTGCCTTTTAACAAGAACCCAGGGTGATGTGTGCACACATTAAAGTTTGAGAAGCATTGTCTTTAAGCACTCTGATTTTCTCTTCCATAGCTCTTGCCACCAAGTTGTCTTTCTAATTATATATCTGTGTATCTTAAATGACTGCTTTAATGATTCTATCCATAGCGTGTCCTTGGATGACTAACAGCACCTACCACTGGCCAGGTGCTCACCCAGTGTGTATTGAATGGATGACTCTCTAGCTCTCCCCTGCTGGGATGGCTCTGCTGGTTTTGCTCTTCTAACATTCTCTCCTTGACCCTGGATAGGCCCTGGGTGGCTGATGAAGTCAACCATGTTAGCGCCACATTTACATGTAAATGTTTTTCTTCGTTCATTTGCATATCATACTAACCCGCAGGCCTGCTTGGAAGTAAGCTAATTGTGTATCAAACTTTGAAATGGTGGTTGTTTTGTCACAGAGGCAACACCAAGGGGAATTTTGTTATGTCAGGTTTTCCTACACTGCATACGTAATTGAGCGACCACAAACAAAAAGCATTCTTAGTTCAATTAAGAGCTTTCAACTAAGGCAAAAAAAAAAAAAAAGGCATAGAATATTTCAATGGAGACCGAAGAACCTTCCAGACCAAGTTCACCTCCTTTCTGCTGAGAAACTGAGTCACAAAGGTTCAGACTGACTTTCTCCATCCCCAGATCAGTGAGATGCCCAGGCTGTGACTACTAGAAACATCCTTGACTCAGCACCACCAGAGTGGGAAAAAGAGATCCATTTGTCATAGAACTAGGTGTCCACGGAAGGCAAATGACTGCATTCCTGAGACATGGTGGCATAAAACACCCTAAACACTTGTACAGCTGCTAAAGTCTTGCTTTGGTAGAATTTAGGAAGTTGTCCCCCCCAGTGTTGTTCTCTCTTTCCTTCTGTAGGTCTTTATTAATATTTCAGTTCGATGCACTGCAGGAGATTTTAACCCATGCAGGTGTAAAATGAACAGGATCCTTCAGTCCTTTCTGCAAAAACCTAAGGGGTGTCTCCATGGCTGACAGGGGAAGAAGCGAGGCAGTACAGGGGAAAGTCTCTGAGATGTTCACTGTGGGAGAATTGTGCCTGTCCATTTCTCTGGACTATTAGCTCAGAGCACCTGAACTGCGTCTCTCTTTAGCCCTAGCCCAGGGCCTCCTCCTTCAGCAATCTGCTTCCACAAACCTCTTACTTACGTAAACATTTACATATGTTTATATTTGTTAAATAGTGAATAATATACATTTGAATGCATATAAATATATGAAATAAATACAAAGTTGTATTTATTTCATATATTTATAAATATTGGTATGTTATAGTAGGACATAAACTTGTAATAAATCCATGAGGGCAGGAACCCAGTTTAATTATGGTGTGTTCCCGATGCTTGGTGTATAAACACTCAATTAATTCAAACTTTCCAACCACAAGAGAGAAAGAAATGTGCCTTCCAGGTTTGTTTATAGCATAATTCACAAATGAATCAAACATGGGAAATAACCACATATTTATACAATTCTCTTGATTGTTCTTATGTTAACCATGGGAAAAAAAATATTAGTACACATGAGGTGGGTGAGAAGCGCTGGACTGGCAGGCGAGAGCTCCAACCGTGGTTCCTGAGCCCTGCAATCGTACTGGGTGGCCCTGAGCCAGCCACTCTGTGTCACCTGTTCTGTCCCACGCTTTTTGCCTGGGAAGTGTGGATAGCAGTCCTTGTCTTGCATTTCTGACAGGCAGGTGGTAAAGCAAATGGTAAGAAGCCTGTTGTAAACTAAGTCAGCAAGTCAATTTTTAAAATGGAAGAGTCAGACAGTGGGGTTCTAATTTGCACTGTACTTTGACAACCACCAAAATGGAAAAGACAACAACAAATGGTTTCAACTGAATGTCGTTCTCATCCTGCACTTTCCTTTCTTCTCTTCCAGGACTCCGTTCCCAGCCCGCCTGACAACTTCCCTCTCAAAGGAGGTAAGAGCTTGCCATTAGGAGTGAGATTGTCGCAAATCGTCCAGACGACACCATAAGGTGCCATCACCCAGCGGAAAGGCTAGGATGGTGCCCACAGGAAAGAGGGTGGGGGCAGGTGGGGCAGCTCAGGGTTGAGCTGGTGCACGTTGATCACCCCCAGGTGGCCCCATCAAGGGTCTCATCCATGCAAGCTCCCACCAGCCCACCACATTCCCACTAGTGAAAACTCTGCAACTGGCGTAGGCCACGGCACAGATGCCAATAGGTTATACAAAGCAGTTCTGTGTCTCCAGCTTGAAACCCTACCTTGTGCAAATGGGGGTGTGAATCTCAGTCCCTCCGGAGCCTCAGCTTCTGGTCTCTCATATGGAAGTAATAGCACTCACGTCACTGAGGTGCTGGAGAAGCCAATCAGACCCCGTCCATAAATTGCATAGCACAGCCACCAGCACCAATAACCCTTAAATAACTGGTCATGGCCAAAATGCATAATGAAGTGGAGGATTTGTGTAAATAGACTTTCTCCTCACTCTCTCTTCATTTCCAATCACTGGAATTACTGCCTCTATCAGCCCCAGAGGGGCAACATGTAGACTTCAGTTAACCCTGAGGATGAAAAGCCTTGAGATCATCTGACTAAGGATTTCACTGCTCAGAGGAGGAAAAGTAAGCCCTGGAGAGGGGAAGTGAAGTGTCCGTAACCCACATGTCCATCCTGTAACCTTAGAACTGGATCGCAAGCACAGCTACATAACCAGAGGAAAAGGAAGAGAGAAAGGGGTGAAGTCATCATAGACACCAGGATAGGGACCTGGGGACCGAGGACACAGATGACCTGACACAGCTCCTCACGCCACAGTATCACACTTGGAATTTCCTTCAGGATACCCTTGACCTTGTCTTTCACCTAGAGATTTAGAAAGTAGGGTCAAAGGGTCCCAGCAGACCAGCATTCTGGGTCTGCAGGCATATGAGTAATTACAGCATTGTGAACAATGTCTCAGTCTTGGCCACAATCACTTAGCATGAGGTTCCAATTCCCCTAATACCTGTAAATCAATGTAAAAAGGAGCAAGGCAAAGGCAGAGGGAAGAAAGATTTTTTCTTTTTTTTATATAAAGGTGCACCTAGTAAGTATTTTAGTTTTACGAGCCTCACCATCTCTGCACTTAGCTCTGTGGTTCCAGTGATGAAGCAGTCAGACTGACAGGCAAATGGCCTGGCACTCCCTAAAACATGTTTACATAATGAGGTGACGAGCTGGATTTGGCCCACGGAGAGCCGAATTTCCTCACCTCTTTAGTGGAAACAGTGCAGGATTTGGAGTGAGAAGCCTCCATTAAATTGTAGCCCATGTTCCTGTGGAGATTTGCAAAGAAAGAGATATACTAAGCATGTGTAATCCCCACACCCTGCCCCCGTTCCACCACCACCTCCACCTCCACCCAGATTTTCCAAGCAAAACTGGAACTTTCTATTTTTTGAGAGGAAGTAGAGATCTTTAAGATGGACATGGTCTCAAGGACATGGGCAGTTTTGATCAGCAGCAAGCCTCAGCCATTCCACCACTCAGTTCCCTTACATGTGGATGTTCCAATCACAGTCTTCCAAACCAGGAACCCTGACCAGTGGTTCTGGCCCCACAAGTTTGCCTTAGTCCCCAGGAGAATGGGAAAAAGAAGGACCATTAGCCCCTTCTTGCATGGCCAGTGACATTTAATGAAGGGCACATTTCCTCTGAGAATAAGTCCTTTTCACTTTTTTTGATGTTCAAAATCCTTTCATTTACAAACACAAGTTCATACAGGTGCAAGTTAACTTGGTTTGTTTTCTGTCAATCATTTGTTTTGCTTTAATGATCATAATAGGTGAAATTTTTTAAAAGCTTCCCACTTCACATTGGTCTCTGGATTTTCATTTGTGGATGAAATTTCTTTGGTTCATAAAAATCCAAAACTTTGGGAAATGTTGACCAGACTCTTTACTTGGGCCATGATTGGTAATATCAGAATAGGCACTGGTCCAAAACCAACCTCAGTTTACAATTTCATGTTTCTGCAGCTAGATTTTTAAACATCTAATAATAATCCCCACTGGGGCTGTGACACCTTCTGTACCTCCTTTGCATTGGCTTCTGTCCCAACCCTGAGGGTAAGCAACATGGGGATTAATACACCCATAAATATTCCATGTACCAGTAAAGAACTGAGGCCCAAGGAGTTGGGGCAGTGTGAAGACCATTCAAGGAGTTAGTAGCAGAGCAAGCATGAGAGAATCCAGAGCTTGTCCCCATGTCCCTTGAGATGCCAGGGATCTGCTGAGTGTGGTCTCTGACTCTCTCTGCTTACAATGCAAGTTCACACTTCCCTTAGCTTGGCAAACTACAAACTCTGCAGGAGGATTGGGTGGAAAGAATTATCACCATGGGGCAAGTCACGGGCTCCAAACCTGGCCTCCACCCCAGCAGTGTGGGTTCTCTGGGCAGGTTTTTCCTACTCTCTAAGCCTCGTCTGTAGTTAAACACAGTGTTCTAAATGAACTGAATGAGTCCTTTCAGCTTGGACACTTTCTGAGACTGTGATTCTCTCATCCAACATGTAAAGATTAAAAAAAAAAAATGTCTAACAACTACCTACAGAGAATCTGAAGCCAAGGCCCTTCCCCAAGAAGCTCTGAAACCAGCACAAGCAGCAAATTGCATCTTTTGGAAAACAAACAAAGCAAAGCAAAACAAAATAACATTTTAAGACATGCCAGGCAGAGGAGAATTATGTTCCAGAAATTTCTGGGAGGAAGCTCCAGGAACACATGAGGCTTGTTGCTAGAGAGGGCGAGGGTGTAAGCTTGCGCTTTGCTATAGTGGGTGTTGGAAATCTTTCACCATAAGCAGGAAACCAGAAGTGGCCAGAGCCTGGGCTGCAGGGCCGTACACACGCCAAAGTAACCTCACAGGGGATACGCTTAGCTTCCCGGAAACCACAGAGAACCACAGCTGCTTTGGTAATGAGTCCTAACACAAGTCTCCCATCCCTGACCATCATAGCCCCAGCCAACTGTCACCTCACACCCACTGCCATTGTGCTTAGGACTCAGGGACCATTCCAGAGGTTCAGGTGGAGCTGGGAGCCAGGAAGAGCCCTGGGAACAGAACCTTGTCCCATGCTCTTCTCCTCTCTAGGTCTTAGTCTGTCATCTAGAAGATGGAGTTAACAATAACTCCTGTACTAAGCTACCTTAAGGGTAGAATGGGACTGCAAATATGCCTGCAGCTGCCACCTGGCTGAGCCTACATCCCAGGCCCGGGGTCCACTCTGCTCTTACACAGTCACATAAATGGCTCATCCCAGACGCAGCCTGGAGGCAAGGAAACTGGGGTAAAGAGACATCTGGGATTTTGCTTCTCCTTGGCCACTTCTGGTTCTGATTTTCTGCTTCCACGAATTGTGAATCGCACCTGTGCACGGGATGTGGCATATCTGCCCAAATCACAGAACACAGCCACATTGGCCTTGATTTGCCCAGAGTCCAAACGGCAGCTCACATTTGTGTCTAGAACATCCATGTGAGGCAGGGCAGAAGAGTATTCCAGCCCAGCCCAGCGCAGCAAACCATGCAGAGCTGAATGTGAGACCCTCCATTCTGTAAGACCCCAGCTCTCCAGTCACCAGGAATCCTCCAAGAGCAGCTAGCTCCCCTCCTGTCGGCCCAGTCCCCTGCCATGTGGGCTGCACATTCCTTCCCACCTGATTTTATATCCTTCTCCCTATTTCTGCACACCCCCCATTCCTCTCAAAAAGTCTACAGAAATTTAAATTCTACTGACTTTATTTTGAAGAACAGTTTTGATGTTTTGGGCTCACCCTTAGGCCTTCTCAGGGTTCTCTGGGTCTTTTCATAACAAAACACCTCACTAACCAAAGAGTTCTCACCTGCACTAGAGGAATTCTGTAGACAGTCTCCCTGTATTCTCCCACTGCAGCTGTCGGAGGCCCTGACGGAGAAAGCAGTGACATCCATGGTCATCTATGACAGACTAAAATCTGTGCTCATTCACTCCTCGCAAGCCCCCAGGGATAATGATTAGCCCTGTTTTATGTGTAAGGAAATAGGATCACAGAGAGGGCTACTGAATTAGCCAAGATTTCACAGCAAGCAATCAGTGGGGCAAGACCTCAAATCCCGCCTGAGCCTTGTGCTTGGCCAGGACTGGATGGTGGAATGCCACACCCCACACACCTGCTTCCCAGCTGTTTCTTCTCGTGTGTCTGCAGCAAATCCGCTGTTGTTGAGTTCTGGGGCAGAGAGGGCCACTGGGGACATGTGGGTGTGTACAGTGGGGGACTGGGGTGAGTTCATCCTTACTGCCTGTCAGTTGGGAGGGATTTAAGGCCTCTATACCCTGGGGTTCCCCAAAGCCCTAAGGAAATCAACCGTAGGTAGAACAGATGTGGGTCCTGACCCCTTCAGAGCACCCCTACCCTGGCCTGATGTCTGTCTCCCCCTGGAGACAGGTACCAAGGGCAGAGAACTAGACTGGAATCCCTATACTCCCTTCCACTCCCAAGGTTGGAAGTAGCTCATTTTCCTCAGAGAGTCGGATTCCCCATTTCTGAAGTGTAGGTGAGGGGACTGAGCCAGGTGACCAAACTCCAGGATGGATTTGGCTCCGAGTATCACCTTCTGTAATCAAAGACACATCTTGGCCTTCTTTGACCACGTTACTGTGCTGATATTGACAGCATTTAGAGGGCTCGGCAAGCTACTCTCCTCCCCTCTCCCCCTGATAAATAGAAAATGTGGACAATAAAAGAGACCAAGAGCGGTTGGCTCCCTAATGAACCACCCCGAAGAAATAAGGGGAATGCACAAGGGAGGCCACCTTCTCCCCAATACCCAGCTATCCCTGATGCCCTTTGGCCAGGGTCCAGGTGGCAGCAGTCCCTCCAGGGTGAGGTGGGGGAGCAGCAGCCTCTTCCTACCCTCCCCTCCTTCACAGCAAGGGGCAGTGCTCCTGCTCAGGGACTAAATTGGTTTTCCCATCGTCACAGGCCACAAGGAGCCCATTTGCTTCTCCATTTCCTTAAACCTCCTCAGTAAAGCCCACCTTGACCTTGCTGTCTTTTCCTTAAGGCAGCGCTAATGGAAATCAGGAATCACCATCCAAGAAATGACTAGGAAATAAATGAGCCACTCAGAACGCAGTGCAGTGGGGTCCCAGGAGGCCACCTAGCATTCTGCAGTCATCTGCTCCTAATCCCCACACCCAAACACAGAGAGGAGGAAGAAACAAGAAGCAGGGAAGGCAAGTGGGGAACAGAGAGAGAGAGGAAGAAAATAGAAAGGAAAAAAGAGGCATGTCCATGAAAGACATGTGAAAATTTGAATTTGAACTGAGCACATAAAAATCACAAGTCTCTGAATTGAGGGGAAGTCACAGGGTTCACCATCCAAATGCCTGGGAAAGGAAGGAAGCTGAGGGGTGAAGGGAGGGCAGGCCTACTCCTCCCGCTGGTTGCATGACATACGTCACTCAAGCTGGCTGGTCCACTTGAGTGTCTGCAAACCAAGCCTCGCACGGCCTGGGCCGGGAGTGAGAGCAGCCACTGTTTGCTACAGTGTTGGTGGGAGACACCAGGCTCCTTTCAATGCACCATCTCACTTTGCCTTCCTGCCACCTCTTAAGGTAGGGATTATTATTGCTCTCACTTTGGGGAAAAGGAAAGGTGGCCTGTGCAAAGTCACACAACTAGTAAGTAATACAGATGGGATTTGAACCAGTTTACCCAGCCCCAAGCCTAACTTCCCACATGCTGCTGTACTTGCGCATCACAAACAAGCTGGGCGGAGGGCTATATGTTAGCGGCTTTCACTATATGATTTCAGACTCACCTTCCTTTTAAGTTCAAGACTTCTAAGGTGCTTCTTAAACACTCCCGATGCTTTTAGTATAAACAAATTCCAAGAAAATATCCACAGAGTCAGAGAGGTTTATCTTATATATTGCAACAGGTGAGGATTGAACTCCAGAGAATCTTCAGGGGATTTGTGTGGATGGGCTGTTGTTTATGTGCTTAATTCTAAGTGTGCCAGAATGGGTTATTCCCTATCTGGTTGTCCTTTGTTTAATAATCGGCTCATCCTGCAGCCCGTTTCTCCATCACAAGTTGATCTGGTGGCATCAAGGAAATGGTCCAGCTGCAGCCCTTTGAAATGAGCCTTAGGTTAAAGATTCACCTGGATCCCAAATTCCACTGAATGGGGAGACTCCTCCAGATGTCACTGTTGAGACTCTTCATAGAGTCTCCCAGGAAGATGGAAACCAAAGTGCAGAGTCATTAGGATAATCTCTTTGCTTAAAAGGATTAAAATGTTTTCAATAGATGAAAGGAGGATTTTGCCCACCTTCCTAAAAGCATCGGATGGCCTCAGACACTTAGGTTCGTAATTAATTGAGAAACTCCAATCCATCAGATAATGTCATGAGCTTTGCTTTCACGGGCATTTCATTAGCCAAATCACTCTGCTAAATGACACTGCTAAGCTGTGCCACTGTAACAACAAGGAAATGAGCGCAAGGGAGAATGGAGCTATATTTACAGAGTGCTCCTCTGGCCACGTGCCCCGATGGTTACTCAATATAATAATCTCAATGCATCGCCCAAACCTGCCTACGTTTGCATGGATTATTACTATCCTCGCTTTACTGATGTAGAGGGGAGTGATGGGTCCAAAGCTCAAAGCCTGGTCCTGAACCCAGGTGCTCTCTTTTGAGATGCACAGTATCTGCCTTGACTTTATGTCAGCAGTGCTGTGGAGCTGGAAGGGGCCTGGCACTCAGACCATGCACCATCTGGTGGAATAGCTGCATGTTTTTTTGTTTTGTTTTGTTTTTTGCCATGTAGAGCTTCCCTGAGCAGTGTCCATCTTTCTGGAAGCCTGATTGTCCCTGATTTGCAACTGGGCATGGTCCAGCACACAGGCCTGAAGTCATCTGCTGGCATGCTCCCACAAGATGGGACCAGGGAGGCACATTAGAACTTGTTTGCCCAGCACCTACAGCTGTCTTGACAGTTTTCAGTTCCAGTATCTGTGGTGGCTGCATTTCACTCTCCCTGCTCCATGGAATAATGAAAAGACAGGGACAAAGCCTTGGACAGAGAGTCAGGAGCCCTGTATTCCGAATCCAGCTCTGTCATTTACCTACTGTGGGGTCTTGGGCCAGACCCTCAGTCTCTCTAGGTTCAGTCTTCCCACTCCTAAAACTAGGACTTCTGTGAATATGACATCTAATATCCCTCTCTGTCCCTCATACTATATCTCAAAGTGGGGCCTAGTTCAAGGTTGCCAGAATCCTGACCTTCTAGAGCATAATCCTCTCAACCACCTTGAGCAATCTCTGTTTCTCCCTCTCTACGCTGTGCAACTGGCCAGTAGGGATTCCTGGGCACATCTTTCTCTCCAACCTTCCAAAGCCACAGAAAGCCCATGATCTCTCTAAAAGAGTCAGGAGTTTGGAGACAAAATACAACATGCAAACTTTATGCATATGAAGACATTGATCCTCAGAGGAATACACAGAGTGCTTTGATTATCTGAAAGACCGAATATTCCCACAAAAGGAATGTGGAGCCCAGGGCTCTGGCCCTGCCTCTGTCACCCACTCTGGGTTAACTAGGACCAGCTTGTTAGGGGTGTGACATTGGAGAGCAAATGAGTTATGTCCTTTCAAACCTGGACCAGGTGCCTTCTTAGGGAACTTCCATTTCTAAAAAACATGCAAATTCTAACAGAACCAGACTCTTCATTACTTAGATTGCCCCCAGAGCTAGAATGTTCTGTTTTCTATCACTTCTGGGATCTGAAAATTTGAGTGTGTGAACACAGCTTCCTACTATGGGCTGAGCAATATGCCCATAGAGACAGAAATGGGGCCCACTTTCTGTGCCCAGCCCCTGACCCCCACAGCAGCCCTGGCAGGGGACAGCCGAGACCACACAGCCTACCAGAAAGAGCTACAGAGTCCCTTCTTGATCCCAGTCCACACTGTTCTCCATCTAGATAGGGACACAAGAGCCCAGAAAGAGGACTTCTGAGAGGCTCACTCCCAGGTCATCGGTTCAGCCACTCCCTGTAGACAGTTCTCATTTCCCCGACCTCACATTCTGTTTTTTTAAACTAAACTCCTCCAGACATCACATCCATTGGGAAACAAGAAGATGTGTTGCTACGCATGCTCCCAGTCCTCAAAACTCTAGGGACATTGCCAGGTTCCAGCTGCATGAAGAAACCTATCCTTTGATAAGTCGCTCCTTCTTGTTTTTATACCAAAAAAGAAAGACCTATCATGGACCCGCAGGGTGATGAGGAGACAAGCTACACGGCTGATGATCCACAGAATGTTATCTAGCTCTTGACATCTGCCTCACAACCCCCAAAGCAGCCCTGACTGGTCAAATACCTGAGCATCCAGCTCTGCGACATAGAGCACGACTTGGGTGTCCTTCATGTAGGTCTTTCCACAACCCACATGGCTATGAGAGTGGCATTGGTCAAGATTTCACCTCCTCAACTTCCACTTGGAGCCTTAGTGATCAGACCCCAGAGATCAGGCTGCACTGTCTTCCTGCTGGCAGCCTTGTCAACAGAGATTGTGCCCTCCTCTGGGGTCTTGCTCCCCACCCTCAATAGCCCCTCTGGTGTCCTGCTTGCTCTGGTAACATCTTTTTTTTTTTTTGGAACCAGGGAGTTGAACTCAGGGGCGCTTAACCACTGAGCTATATCTCAACCCTTTCTAATTTCTATTTTTTTTTTTAACTTTGAAACAGGGTCTCACTAAGTTGCTTAGAACCTCACTAAATTGCTGAGGCTGGCTCTGAACTTCTGCCAAGCCTCCTGAACCACTGGGATCACAGGTGTGTGCCACAGAGCCCGGTTGGTATTAGCATTCTTGAAAGAAGCTGTGTTTTTCCTTTAGCTAGACGCCATCTAAAACACTCTTTAAGAAAAACTAAACTGTGTCATGCCATTTGACTTCAGGAAATGCAAATGCTTCAAAATAAGGGCTTTTTTTTTTTTTCCATCCTTGGGTTTCTCAGAATCACAGCTGAGGTCACCCCACTAAACATGTGAAGAACAAAGGGGAAAAACAACAACAACCAAGAACCTGCATGTGTGAGGGGCAAGCCTGGGCTTGTCACCGGTCACTGCTGGTTTGTTTGTGGAAGCTCACCTGAGGCAGGTGTCACAGGTGCCAAGGACAGAGGGGCCCTTTGGCCAGTGGCAGAGCCTGTGTCTGACTTGATAATACTGACTTCACCCCAGGCACGATTCTTGTCTTCCTAACTCCTCTGACCTGCAGCCCTTGGAAGAATGAGGCCTGTGTATTCCAGCCGTGGGAGGAAAAGCAGACCAAACACCCTTCTCCATCCATCCTACTCATTGAACTGGTCTCCACAAGGGAAATAAAAGAGATGATTTAGAAGATTCCATTCAACAAACATTGACAGGGCTTGTCCTGCTCAGGGCAGTGGGGATGGATAAATTGTAGTCTCTGCCCTGAGGGTTTACAGGAAAATAAGCAAACAGAGCAAGGGGCAGAGAAGGTCTCCTGGAGGACAGGACTGCCAGGTTGTGTTCCCACGGTGACCGGCCTGAGGGAGGTGGGGATTCCAGGTAGAGGGAGCAGCGGGTGCCAAGGTGGAATAGAAAGCTAGCATGCACCCAAACTCCAATAGAGAAGTCAGGAGCTGCCCAGGCATTCGAGTCTGCACAGCCCGAGTTTGAGCCTCCACCCTGCCACCAGCTAGTTCTCTCATGGAAATTTCTCATGAAAATTAAGTGAAATAATTTCCATAATGTGCTTTGCAGAGTACCTAGAAAACAGCCATCATTGCACACACATTCGTTATTGTTATCAATATTACTATCCTGGCTGTTGTTATGGTGATGATTATTAGTAGGAGGACAGAGAGTGAAAAGGGAAGGGCGAAGGTGAGGGGTAAACCTGGAGAGGTCAGAACACGAGGGCCTACAAAGGCCGTGCCGAGGAGTCAGGCCTGGTCATGCAGCAGGAGACGTCAGAGAGGGATTCCAAGCAAAGATTCGGGCAGACGTACCTCCCTGCAGTTCCTTCTGCCTTTTTGCTCGACAGCCCCAAAGAGGAGGCTGGGCCAGGGGACTGTCTCATGAAGGTGACAACCTCTAAGGGAGAACAAGCTGCTTTCCGTGCTGTGGTTCTGATTCTACACACCCAACAGTGTGGGTGTGGGCTGTGGCAGAGGACTCGCACGCTGGCTGAGGGATGAGAGAAGCACGTGGCCCAGATTGCAGCTGGCCCACCAGCCCTTGCCACCAAAGGGGCTTTGGGCCAGAAGCTCTTTGTGGATCAAGGGCCCCCAGCTGGGGGAGCCTCCAGCAGTGAGCCGGCTCAGACAGCAGAGGGAACTCTTCGCTTCATTCTAACCACTTCAAGGCCCCAAAGAGCTTTGAAGAAGCCAGCAGGGACTTTCTCAGGCCCGAGCAGAGAGGGCAATGGAGAAGTTTGTAAGCCCAAATAGAACACTCTGGGAGCAAACACACCAGGGTGTGGCCACCCCATTGGATGAGTCAATGGCTTCCTGGGCTCTGATGGATGGACTGAGTGGTCATCTCTGATGACATCATCAAATGATGTCAAGGTCAATTTAGAGATCTCCCAGTTTTACAAAGTAGAAAACGGAGGCTAAGAGAAGAGAAGAGATTTGTTCCAAATAAGTTGAGTCCATGAGAGCCCAGGAAGCCATTGGCAGGAAATGTTTGGGTAGTTCTTTGCATACAAAATGATTACTATAATAAGAAAGAGTTAATCTCTCATCTCTGATAAACATATTAAAATATTAAAAAATAAATTTCTTAAACACTATAATACTTTAATGCCATCATTGCTGTTTTTCCCTGTCAAGGAAGCTCCTGCTAAGATATCTTTAATCCTTTTCCTTCTTAAAATTGAGTAAAAAGATGTTTTATCTTTGTCGTCTAGCAAAATGGCCCAGAATAGGAAACGTGGCCTAACTTGGTCAGACAGACGTGGAGAATGTCAGCATTTCCTCACACTTGTTTGACTTTGAGTCTATCATTGACCATCTTCAGGCATCGTGGATAACTCTGCAGGGTTAGTCTGAGAACAAGATTAGATAACACTGGTGAAAATACACAGAGCAGGGTCCTACACGCATGCAGCAGGTAAGATGGAAATAATCAGTATCCTATTCAAATTTTGACAGCCACTACCTGTGTGAGTGACTTAGGACAATGGATAGCATGTATCTGATCCCCAGGGTTCTCCCAACTGTCAGAGGCACTTAATAAGGCCACTTTCATGGGTTAGACACAAAGACCACACAAGGTAAAATCTGAGGAGGGAAGAGAAAGGCCTCTGGCACATTATGAGAATTCAGATCATATTCCTTCTACAGTCTCCTATAAAAGCCAAAGAGGAAACCCTCAATAAAAATAAATTTTAGAAAAGTACAACTCCTGAGATATTTGACAGCACAAGAACTAAAGAAGTTTTCCTTTTACTTAGAAGCAAAACAGTAACTGTCCCCGTCACAAAGTCAGGGGAAAAGATCCAGTGACGTCAGTGCCCAGAGCAGCAGAGGCAATTCATGTGTATCTCCTTGTTTTTAGGAAATTGCTCAGAAGACCTCTTATGTATCCTGAAAAGGGCTCCATTCAAGAAGTCATGGGCCTATCTCCAAGGTCAGTAGCCAAATCCATGACAGCCAGCCACATGGAGGCCACATGTGGCCTTTCAGCAACTTCTAAGCAGAAGTCCCAACTAGAGGCCAACGGCTGGCCCAGTGTGACCTGCAGCGTGTTCTGGATTGCCTGCACACAAGACCTTTCAGCATTTGAATTTGAATGCCTTCCCCAAGGAGAGAGTGTTGAGTTCCAGAGCCACAAGTCTCCTCTTTCCTCAGCCCCTTCATGTTGCCTACCCATCTCTGGAGGCATTTTTGACCCCTGTCCCCACCTCCCCCACCATCACCCCTTTCTATCCAAGTACCTACCAGTTTCAGCGAAGTACACAGTTCTTTTCCTAATGCAAAGGGACCCGGCTCCTAATCTCTCCTCTATAAAGTTATTCACAAGGGAACCACAAAATTGTCTTGTCCCCAGATTGACAGCTTAATGAACATGTTGGCACAGGACCTATTTGCATACTGCAAAATGCTTTGCCATGTAAGAGGCTCCTGATAAATGAAATAAGAGGCACTTACACTGCAAAAGAATGAGATATGGAGGAAATGGCCAGGATTCTCTGAATAGCTATTTTGCTCATTTTAAAAATTCAATTTTGCACATAGATTAGTTCTTACCTTTCAATTGAATTGCAATGAAATTGAAAGGAAAAGTATATAAGCAATTAAAAGGCACCCTGTCAGTCAGTGTTGGCTTTTATCTGTTAGCTCCCAGAGACTTGGCTTCTGACATAAACATGTCAGCTTGAAGGGTCTGCTAATTCTCTGCTTTTCTACAAATCCCAGATGGCAGAGCCCCTTACTGTACACCCGAGGGGCCTGTGCAATTATGTTTGGCTACCCTTTGGAAAGAAGGGACATTCAAAAATTCAAATAATCAGATAATGCGTACATCTTAGTGGAGAGTCTATTGGACAACTTGATACCTGAATTGGTTCTTAACTGCCCAGTATAGAATGTCCTTTCTCTGACACTTTCCTTAATCTCTCCCAAACAGTAGTCACACACTAACTGCTCATTCATGATAAATAAACATGACATTCAGTTCTTCTGCAGAATACAGTCAAGGAGCTTATAGTCTAAAAAGGGAAAGATAATAATCATAACATCGTAACATAATATGATAATAGGCAATGGGGGAAACATTCCATAGTAGGTAGAGTGCACTACTGTGAGTGTTGTGGCCCTCTAGCTTTGAGCATTGGAAAGGAAGAGAGGTAATTTTCTACTTGTGCCTTGAATAATAAGTAGACCTTAGAAGGAGTCATATGAAAGATATTCAGATGGCTGGGTCATCAGGCAACATGATAGAAAACATGGCTCTTAAATGGGAACCTTGAACAAAGACAGAGTGCTCTAATTTGTACCCTCGATGTGGTTAATAATTCTCTTTTTTATACTTTCCAGTGTCCAAGCATCTCAACAATACCAAGTTGTCTTGGAACAAAGATGGAATAGTCCATGGCGTCAGATACCAGGATGGGAATCTGGTGATCCAGTTCCCAGGATGGTATTTCATCATCTGCCAGCTGCAGTTTCTGGTTCAATGCTCAAATCATTCCATGGACCTGAAGTTGGAGCTCCTCGTCAACACAGAGGTCAAAAAACAGGCCCTGGTAACAGTGTGCGAGTCTGGAATACAAACCAAAAACATATACCAGAATCTCTCCCAATTCTTGCTGGACTACTTGCCAGTCAACACCACCATATCAGTCATGGTGGATAAATTCCAGTATGTGGATACAAACACCTTTCCTCTTGAGAATGTGTTATCCGTTTTCTTATACAGTGGTTCAGACTGAGAAATTTCTCTTGGCCTGCAGAAGAAAATGGTATTTCATCCATTCGTCCCAACACTTGGGCAAAAAGAAAATGTTAGAACAAGACTGAACTCGCAAAGGGTATTAAGTAGTATACGTGTCCTTCTGTCTGTTGGGAAGATACAGCTCCAGGGTTAAAAAAGGGAAGTATTTTTCAGGTAGAAGACAGGGAAGCAGTGTGGTGTGGTGGAAAGAGCCCTAACTCTCTGGGCCTTGGAAGGGAGTGGGTTGTCCCAACCCAAGCATTCATTCACTATTTAACCTTGAGCTATGCTTTCCCCTCCTGGAATTCAGACTCCAGATCTGAAAAATTAGGGGATTTGGTTTGAATCTGTCCAAAGTTTCCTTCACCTCAGAAGATCAGACATGTGAGTTGAAATTCCAGGCAGAGATCTGAAAGGTCCCAACCAAAGGAAGGCCCCACCTACCAGTATGAACTGATGGTATCACTAACATCCGACTGCATGTCATCCCAGCAAGTCAGAATGTGGGGACAATGTTCACCTGCCTTGCAGAATATGCCATGTGTTCAGCAAACACCCCACCAGCTTGCAATGGCCAAGGTGATATGGTCATTTAGCCAGGGAACAGCTGCTGTCATCTCCTGCATGATATATGGCTGTTTTATACTTCAAATAACCCTTAGAAAATCAGTTCTGTGATGGACTTTTAAGTCCTGACGAAGTTGTTGATAGACAATGGTGATGCTGGAAATGCAGAGAACGTAGGAGCCTGGCAGCCTCCTGACCTGATTTGGGCAGCTGGGAGAGTTCTCCAGCTACATCAAGTTTGACACTCCCGCATCATCTTTCAAAGAGCGCCTTATTTGTTGGAGGACTTTGACAAACGTCGGAGTTGGAAGTGTAGACCCCTGAGGATAGAGTTGAGTGAGAAAAGAAGACCGTCTGCTGCTGCGCAGAAGAGTGGAGCAAACGTTCATTTTCTCAAGAAGGGAAAAGGTCTAAAAAAGAAGAAGAAGAAGAAGGCCAGGCGCCGTGGCGCATGCTTGTAATCCCAAAGGCTCAGGAGGCTGAAGCAGGAGAATCAGGAGTTCAAAGTCAGCCTCTGCAAAAAGTGAGGTGCTAAGCAACTCAGTGAGACCCTGTCTCTAATAAAATACAAAATAGGGCTGGGGATGTGGCTCAGTGGTCGAGTGCCCCTGAGTTCAATCCCCGGTACCACTCCCCCCAAAAAGAAGAAGGAAACCGCAGCAGTTGTGGTATGGATAGAGAGCAACGTGGAAAAACAAATGACCAAGGGGAAAGTGTAAGTCCCTCTCTGAGCAGCGTGCCTTGTCCACCTCCTCATAGGTCACCCCTGTGAACCATTCAGTAAAGCCTACCTTTCTCTTTAACTCTTTTTAAGAGTAGATTCTGAGGGAGGAGCAGGCATTGGAAGAGGGATTGAATTCCGTGAGCCAAGTGGCACATGGTTAAAAGAGAGAGGCTCACAAAGCTAGAGAATAAGGGGATATCTGGCATTTTAGTTGCACACTAATGGGTTAGGACTCATGAATCTCCATTGGACCAACTCATGCATTCTTTCTTTTAATTTAATTTAATTTGTTCTTTTTTAGGTCTACATGACAGTAGAGTATATTTTGACATAGTATACACTCATGAATGCATTCTTGAAAGGGTACACTCAACCTAATTGTGTATAAACAAAGCAAATGTTCTTTCCTCTCATTCCAAATTCGTTTTCACATTTTACTAACTAACTTTCATGCAATGAGTGGTTCTGATTTGCCACACAATGCTCAGAAAACCAAAGGCACAAAAATAAATAGATAGATATATAAATATCAATAAGTCAAAGTCTACATATATAGGATTCATGATGATTAAAACCAAATTCTGTTACTCTGGAGGACTAAGCATCCCTGGGAATTTTATAGCCAAATGACACCATCTATGCAAGTAAAACAAATCATTTACCTAACTGAGGTCCCAGGCTACCCAAAATATAAGCCTCTACAGCAAAATGTCAACTTGAGCCTAGAGACCCTTCCCTCTTCCTTTCTCCCACACCCAATCCAATCACACACAGTATACTTGCAGAACATGTAGAGGAAGGTGATGGTGAGTTGATGAACAATACCAAGTTCAAGGTAGACTGAATGTATACCTGCCCTTGAAAAAAAATCACATGACCTTGTCCATGTTCACTAACTTTATTTTCAACTGGCCTCCCATCATCTAGCCAGGCCTCCCATAACTGCACCACCTAAGTCCTCCTCAGAATCCCCCAGTCACACAAAAGGTGGCTCAGAAAATGGCCCAGTGCCCAGAAAGTTTTTAATATGAATAGTCACTAAACAGAGGCAGATCTGAGGGAAGGTGGTCAGATTTACAAACAGATGAGACTTCCAGGATCCCTGGAATACACTGGCTATTCCAGCACAGGGGACAAAACCCTTTAATTAAAAGTATCCAGAAGTCAGCCAAGTGTCCTTTCTGGTATGCTCCTGAGACAGCAGCTAAGCCCAGTGGAATTCCTATCTGTGGGAAACAGATGCTTGTCAAGTCCTGGCTAGAATTTGAACCCAGAATCTGGTATCCTATCTCTGTAATTCCCCACTAGACTTTATTGGAATTCTCCTGTGATCTTTCATGTACATATGTGTGTATGCGAGCATACACATGTGCATATGCACCTGTGTATGTGTAGACATATATTAATATGCATATACATATATATATATATATGTATGTATGTTTTTTCCTACTCACTATTTTATAGGTCATCTACTTAACCTGAGTTCAGGGGAGGAAGCCTGTTTCTTGCTCTGGGAATTGCAAGACTTATATATGCTTATATTTATTTTTAATTAAAAAGAGAACAGAAAAGAATATTTCTTCCATTCCTCATCAGCTTATTTAATAACTATTAATATTTTGCCATATTTGCTTTTGCTTCCTTTTAAAGTAAAAGAAAACAGAGAGAGTTAAAATCCCACTCCTCCATCTATTCCTCAATTTCCTCTCCAGAGGTTATATGACCACTGCCCAGACGTGTATGTGTATGTCTTTCCCTTACATAATTTTATATTTGTTTTCCCATAGGAACACATAATACAATTTTGTGTGATTTTTAGAATGTTAATAAATGATATCATGCTTATATAATAGTCTGCGACTTGCATTTTTTTATGTAACATTGGAATTTTCAGATCTACTCTACATGTGGATCTAGCTCACCCATTTAAATGCTCTGTTCTCCTGTTTCAATACACCATCTCGGGTCCATTCTCCTAGGTATGGACATTTGGTTTGCTTACAGGTTTTTGTTGTTACAAAAAATACTGCAATAAACACATTCTTATATACCTCTCACCCCTTGTTGCCATTTTTCTAGACAGCAAAAATATTCTTGGAAAAAATATAGATGGAATCCCAAAGCTGCTGTCTTAGCCATGACTATGGAGGGGATAAGCCCACAGCAGGAGCTGAGTCTTTGGAATCTGAAGTCCTCTTTTTATCTAATTACTGCTCTGCTGTGTACATCCATTCAAAACTCATATCCTGAGTACTAATGTGACACCAGACCCCACAGTAGGTGCCAATTTACAATCCAGCATGGTGTGTGGCTTTGAAACCTGCCTTTCCAAGGCACTCTGGGGCTTTTTTGGATCCATCTCTTTTCTGGAGAGTGCACAAAGGACAAATACAGCCCCAGAAGGAATTTCCTACCCCAAGATCAAAGGTGTAGATTCCTTAGGGTCTGGTCCCTACTTCCTTGTCCACTGTCTCCCTGGATGACTTAAGCCACTTCAATGGCTTCAAGTAACACCATTTTGCCAGTGACTATAAACTGCATTTCCAGCTTTGACTTTCTCCTAAAGCCCAACCCAATACATTCTGTGGCCTTTGGACTTTACCATAGTTCTCTCTGTAGACATTTGCTACCCTGCAGTGAAGACTGACATGCAACATTCAGTGCAGTGACTTTTTTTTTTCTGTTAGCATGACCCAGAGAAAGCAACATCTTACATTGCCTGAAAAGACTAAGGAAAAGAAAAATGTGAACACCTGAACTGATTTTATGATGCTCTCATATGTCACATACTACAGTTCACAAAACACTGTTCTAGTGTGCCTTCCTCCAAAGCTTACTCCCTTGAAGCTCAGAATCCTGGATTATTGAGACTGAGATAGGCAGGATCTGGGATGTCTGTCCATTGGTCTAGCAAGCCAGCTGTGGAGGCACTTGGGTTTCTGCAGCTGCATTTGCAGACATCCCTGTGTGTAGCTACTAGCTTAGTGAGTAGTGGTGGGTCTGAGTGGAAGGCTAGGAGCATCCACTCTGCTAATGGAATTTGCTCCAGATGTTTACTGGACAGCACTAGCAGTTTCCTGATTGAAATAGTTTCCTTTTTGCAACAACAGTGATGGGGTTCTAGAAGGGACAGCTTCCTGCTTGCAAGATTATAAAAGAGACTGCTGTGACTATGGCATCTCAGTTCCTAGGAGTAGCTTTAGAAGTTGCTTCTGGGGCTGGGCGTGTGGCTCAGTGGCAGAACAGTTATGTAGCATGCACAAGGTCTTAGGTTTGATTCCCAGCATAACATAAATAAAAGTTGCTCCTGGAAGCTCAGTCTGTTTCTTCAGCCCTCTTGATAATTCTGTAAGCCATTGAAAACCCAATGATAAATCCCTCAGTAGCCTCACTAGCAGGCTAGAGCAAAATCTCTTCTCTGTTGAGGATTCCTAATAGATGCAATCCCACCATGTACAAACTGACCTCATGAAACTCACCTCAAACATATTTCTATCCCTCCTCCAAATCTCATGGATGATCTGAGTCTCTCATTACCTTCTTCTCATTCCTTACCCAATCAACATCCAGTCAATTCCACTAGTCCCCAGTGACCACCACCATCAGCTCACTAAGTCCCCAGTCCCCACCACCATGAGCTCACTAAATCAGCTCTCAGCACTGCCCAACTCACATCCCCATCTCCAGCCTGACTTCTTACAAACCCCATCTCCAGACTTCAGCAATAATAAGTCTCCACTGTCCTTGAGATTGATAGGAAATTTGGTCATTGATCAAGCTGGTACAAGTTTTGCACTTTTCCTGTCCCCACTCCTTTAATCCTGAAAGCAGCCTTACAAGGTAGGCATCATCACCCGCCATGCTCCAGACAAGGACCTCCAGAGCCCCAGTCACTGAGTAGCATGGCCAACATACACAGCCAGTGGGTGGCAGAGCTGGGATTCAGGATCGATGTCTGTGCCCAGAGCCTTCCGAACATTGAAACTCTTTCCACCTGTCCATCTGGATTCTGCATGCTCTCTAGATTCATGTCCATTCCCCCCACATGCTCTTGTTCTTCGCACAAATCATGTTGAACATTTTCTAATTCCCCAAGTCCTCCATGCCCTCCCCTGACACCCGGTGTTTGCAGAATTTCTGCCTTCGGTGAAATAACTCCTTCCATTCTCTTTTGCCTGATTAACTCCTATCATTTTCTGATCTTCAGGGGACTCTTCCTGACAGTTCTGGTCTCGCCTAATTCCTTGCTGTCTCTTTTCATTCTCCTCCATCCTTGATGGCTCAGTATTTCACTGGTTTCTGATGGTTTTCTCTGTAGTTCTGCTCCGATACTCAAACTCCTAAAAGGCAATGACTCTATGGATCTTACTCAGCATGGCATTCTCACAGTCCAGCATAGTTCCTGGGACATAGTCGGTATTTGTTCAATAAATATTTCTCCAATGAATAACTGAAAAGAGCCATTTAAAACACAGGTCCAATTTAGGGAAAAGATAACGCATAAGCAGACATCATATAAGCCATTCCTCCTGCACCACCCTCCCTCCCAAGAAAGGGAAAGTAACTCTACAAAATAAAAATGTGAATTGAAAGTCACTATTTTTCTTAGAAATAATTTTCAGAACTAATAAATCAGGAATGCCAATTAAAAATGGGTAAAACTTTCAGGAACTGAGTTCATCTGGGCTATCTGAGAATTTAGAAGGGCAGAGGCAAATCTT